GGGGGGGCGTGTTTGGGGGGGAGTGGTGGGGGGGGGGGGGGGGTGATGGTTGTAGGGGAGGGGGTGGTGTTGTTGCAGGGGGGGGGGGGGGTAGCCCCTCCCCCTCCCTTAATTCACACACTATTTCGCACTAAACCTGAAGAACTTTTACTGTCAACTCGGCTCAAGCTTAATTTTTAACGCAGTTCTATGTCGTTTAATGATGAATCTTGTAATTATCAGTGCATTTTTGGGAAACGAATGTCGCATAAGAGCTGCAAGTCTTACTTCAAAACTAATCGTAAAATATTTGTCAAGTAGTAAAATTTCATTGTCGTTGTTCTTTGATTTGTGAAAGAAGGAACAAAAATATATTATGTTCTCTTAATTTATAGTTTCATTTGGTTGCCTGTAGGATAGCGAAACACACGATAAAGGGTGAAATGCGTCGTTGTTTGAAGTAGATAAGAACGCAAAGGAAGAAAATTGCTGTACCCTTACGCATGTTACATTGACTGGAAGTACGAACAGAAGTATGGCGTCTTCTTTTGTATCGTTAGCAGAGGCTACCGCCGTGAACATAGTGAACGATGAAAAGTTCGAAAAAGTCTATGGAGTTTATGAAAATGCTATCCGCATAGTGGAGGATGGACGAACATGCGAAACAATCAGACCAGGACTATGGTCGCTTGGGTGTGCTTTGGGTCATCACTCATATTCCTCTAGTATTCATCAAATTCGAATAATGAAACAGTACGGAATGGTGGTTATAGGCATTCGTTCTCGAAATATGCCATTTCTGCCGGACCTATCCAGTTATGGTCGTTATGATGAAAATCCGTCCATACATTGTTGGTGCTCATATGGTGGACGCGTCAGAAACGGCAGATACGAATCTGCTAAACTAACTGACTATCATGAAAATAAATGCGTATTCACATTAACATTAAATTGCGATGAGCGTCGCTTATCTATAGTTAACGAAGACAATCATGAACAAGATGAAATGAATGTTTATGAATCACTTGCTCCTTTTCCTTGGTGTCTGTTCGTTCAAATTTCTAGGATGGGCGGTCGTGTATCGCTTTTATAAAGGTGTGTTCAAAAATGGGTGAGAGTGTGTGATATAGTATGGGGTTATCCACGCACACATGACGTCATTACGTATTTTCCTTGCACGTTGTTGGACTTTTCCTTTACACCCGTATATATATATATATATATTCATGTTTTGTATATATGTGTGTCGGGTAGTTCTCTCTTTGACATGTTCTCTTTTCTGTCTCTCTATCTCTTTATTCAAGAATAAAGATCTTTTCTAACTATATATTCATATATATGTCATAGGCAAAATCAAGTTTCAGGCAAAATTAAACTTAGTCAATATTCATTCATAAAAAGGCGGGAAAGTTGAGATAGAAGAGAAAACGAAATTCTTTTGTTCTCCGATAATGTAACATGTTTCTTATTTCGCAAGATTCTAAAGATGATGTATTGAATTTATTTTCTTATTGACATCTATTTCCGATGCATGGATCATCAACGATACGATGAAAACAACGATCTACTCAACCAATCATAATTAACCGTAGAATCTTTTTGTGTACTCAAAAAGTGATTACACTACTATAATCGGTCAGTGTGTCCGTCCGTCCGTTTACACGATAACTTTCGATAGAAGAGTCCGATTAAGCTGAAATTTTCTACATAGCATTATCTCATCAATGTCTCGGTCAAGTTCGAAGATGAGCCGAATGGGCTGTGCCCTTGCTGAATTTCACTAAAATTTTCTCCAATTCCTATGTAAAAAGTTGAATATTTGTGTGTTTGCCAGCCTGTTCGTTTTATATTTCTTCCTTCTACTAGCTATGACCACCAAACCTTCTGTACAGGTTCGTCAGGCCCAAGAAAACAGTTACGGGGTATGTATGGGTGATCTGGGTGAAATCTCACCCAAGTGGTTGTATGGATGAAAACACCGCGAAACTTTTCATGCTGCCTTCCTATACTTTGAAAACATCGAATGAGTATTCATACACTAGTGAGGATGGTGGGTGTCGATGGTCTAGATGAGATCTGGGTGAAATTTTACCCATCCAATTTCGTGATAAAAAAAGGATGCCAAATCCCCCGTACTGTTTCCGTACAGATAGAGAAGGGTAGATATAATATGGAGAGGCCATTAATGAGATGAATGGGGAAACCGTGGGTGAGATTTCACCCAAGTGGTTCTTTGATAGATAAGACTATCAAACTACGCATGCTGCTTTTTTAGGTCTAGTGAAACGTCGAGAGAACGTTTGCAGATCAGTGAGGGGCGACTGTCAGTGAGTTGGGTATGATGTGGGTGAAATATCACCCGAGCGGTTCTTTAGTGGAAAACGGACGCACATTTCTATGGAACTGTCGTGAGTCTAGGAAACCGCCGAAAGCACGTTGGCAGATTAGTGATGAGACGGATGTAAGGTATCCTGGGTGAAACTGCTATCAAATGGTTTTCGTGACAAATAATCGCATCAAACATTTATCCATCACCAATTGGCTCTAGAAGAGGGTAGGAGTGTGCTGAAGATCGCCATAATGAGGATCTTGAGGGTGTGGGTGAGGGTGTATTTCACCCAGACCACTCATCTGCCAGTCATAGTTCTCTATTAGATATCACTATTAAAGTTTGCGTGGCGAATCTAGAATTAATGAGTAGTGGAAATGCATGTAGATAACGAGAATGAATATGAGCTGATGGACTTGGGTGAAATCCGCGCAAATCATGTTTAAACGTGTTGACGTTAATAAAGCCATTCTAGATATGCTGGATGATGTAAAGCGTAGAAATCCGCTCGAAAACACGATTTCTCTAAAAAAAATATGTGGCTCAGCTGAAGAGAGCCAAAGTGTCAACAATATGCTACTAAGAACAAATTTCAAACCCCTTGAGGGTTATAGTATACTGCGAAAGTGAGTGTATTACTACATAGGTCAATCGCTAAGCTTTTTCAGCGGTCCCTTAAAATAGTATCCTAAGTAGTTATATCGTGCGGGTTGCCTTATTCTAGGGGTAACATAGGTTGTAGATGGAAATACTAGCACGCTGTTTCAAAAGGCTCCGATAAAGATAATCTTTAATGAATTTCTGAACATCTCTATTTTCGCATGAATAAACTAGACCTAAGTGGCACCTAAGAAAACTCATTTGATATTAAATCTAACTGCGATGGAAATTCATGAGGAATTAGTAACTGCCCATGGACAAGGCGCTACTTCATATAGCACAGTAACTATAGGATTCGTCGATTTTCAAATGGAGGAGAGTCTTGGAAAGATGATCGTCGAATTCATGATTCAATAACCGATGTCGCTCAACAAAATATTGGCTATGCTAATGAGCTGAAAATAGATAGTCCGCGTTTCCGTAGTGCTACACTGACACTATCTCATACTTCCTGCATAATATGATTATCACGGCGAACGTTCAAAGTGGTTAGTTAATAATATACATAAGAGAATATGATGATTGAAAAATAAGTGCGCCGTCAAAATATATATAAGTGTATGCATGACAATGTATTTAGTCCTAAGTATCCTTACAGAAAAAGTTCAAACTTATGATTTATTCATTTTAAAGGCTGTTAGGAGAGGAAAAGAAAGATCGATCTGGTGTGAGGTCGTCGACCATCGGATGTTTTTCTAGCACGACGAGAACGTGAACGACCACAGAAAACGAGAGATGAGAAGATCAGATGACCAGACCAGACTAGACAACACACTGAAGGAAAGGATAAACAGATTTATGAGAGGTAGACAGAATGATGTCATCTGATATCATAACACATAGAAGAGTGACCACAGTTGTAGAGAAAAACTCAGATAGAAAAGAGATCTGGATTGACTGTGTGAGGATTTACCCCGTAGCAGAGATCTTATTTTGCTCCTTCGATATCGAGTTTATTCAGCAATCCAAACTGTACTTGTATTAAAACTTCAGATGCTACAAGTTTAGCTAAGCTAATGACCACCAAATTGAAATCGATCTATACTACAGAATCTACAGTACAAATTACCAAAGGGGATCCCAGAAATGAATCAAATGAAAAAAAGCTTTCTATAAAGCATTGTCGAGACTAACTCAGATATTCAGTATAAAAAGATTGACAAAATGCTTTTTTCTAAGAATACATATTTGAAAGTGCAAGAATTTATTGGCCAACCTATGTAGAACCAATCAATGTATCACTACCGTTGGTCTACAGTATAACTCCTGATAGGGCAATTTGATTGTGATGAAATTTTCCACGGCATATTTTCATGCCAGAATCTCGCTAAAATTCGAAGATTAGACTGTTTAGACGAGTGATTTCTGAATTACTGAAAAACTATAGCTATTTCCGTATGACTTCTTGTATGCTCCATCTGGTACACTTTTTGCAGTACACATAGCTTTCGGATAAATCCGAAGTTTCCGCATTTATTTGTTTTGATTTAACGTCATAGATTTCAATATGTGCCCAATTGAGTTTTCATTAATGTTGGAAACGTCCAAGCAAAATGGTGTGTTGAATACATTATAGGTCTTGACGATTGAACATAACTAACATAGTTGCTATCTCCATAGATAGATGCCATTGCTTCTAATAAATTACCTGGCCATGATGAGGCTGATCCTTTATTAGGATTTACAAACCAAGGCCATTGGCCAGAATTTATATTATAATAATAGAGATAATCAAGTGCTAGCTTAATCGAAGCATTACCTTGTGAAAAATTCGTAAATAGATTTTCTTGCGTCGTCTGATAAGCTACCCAACATGCAGCTGTTATTGGTGCTAAAGAAAAGTATGTATACCATATTCCATTATCTCCTCTTATTGTTTCTTCTGGCATATGACCATCTTGAGCAATTTTATGAAAAAGATCACTTTTAATTAAACCAATGTTTTCTGCTATTGCTTGAGAATTATCCAATAAATGAGCAGATAAAATTGAACCAAATCGTCCCCAATCTGCCCAATTATTTGTCCGTGATCTGATTGTATTCGACGCGTTCAAATAGACATTTCTTACCCATTGAAAATATTTTTCTCTTCCAGTAGAGTTCCAACCATTATAATTATAAAGTAGTTCACCTGCAATGATCATTCCTGTTCCCGAATAAGCCATGACAAGACTACCGTCAGAATCAGAATATTTGATATTCACATCAGCCCATGCTTGCACAAATCGTAATGATTGATTGGCATATGCAGTTTGACCACCGCTCAGATGATAAGCCAGAGCACATGCATATGCATCGAATGAATCTGTCTGAAGTACACGTGAACTTAAATAATGCGCCGTTGCATTTAAATAATTGCGAGGAATTGAATAATCAGCTACAGCATTTGTAGTATGCTTGAATGCCGCATTAGCACTTTTAATCAATTGAAGATATGCATTATAGTATGGCTGCTCTTGTTGAACAACTTTCAGTTTTATAAAGTCAATCTGCTCTTGAGTATGAATACCACCAGGATGATAATAAGCTAAAATGTAACAAGGAATCGTATAGGATGTAATGACGATTGAATAGAGTCTTTTAAAGAACGTTAGTTAGATGGAACGCGAACCTATGAAAGAGGTAATTGATACTGAACTTCATTCAATAGTGGATATTTCAGTGAGGCACTTTCGCCATCCGTATCAAACAATAACGATACTGTCTTAGCGTCCATGCAAATGCACATTTAACTATCTGTTCATCCTTTTCACATCTCAGAAGTGATAGGTTCTCATTTTGTCTTATTATTTTTCAATATATAGTGATCAGTCTGTCGTTTCACGAAGGCTGGTCGTAAGTGCATAAATTAATGAACTGTCTTACGTGCTGTTGTTGTAGTTGTTGTGGCAGTTGTCGCGGTTGTTGTCGTTGCAGTTGTTATCGATGTAGTCGTTACTGTTGTTGATATTAATGTGACTGTCGTTGATTCTGTATTAGCTAGCTTAAGAACTAGGAGTGGCACAATAATACTTGCCAAAACGATTGCTGTTATGCACAGTACCATTAGAATTAGGGGTAATAAGCGCATTGATCTATCAAAATTCCGTAGTACAACATCCATAGATCATTTACAAATGTTACGAACTATACATTAGGAGATAAATGTAGCATTTGTGCATTAAATAAGACTGCAAATTGCAGAAAAAGTACCCATCAGATGTTAAGATGTTTATAAGTTTTGAAGAATAGGACAAAAGTAGAGGTTACAACTAGAAGTAAGTGTCATGCCATTCTGATTCATCTTTTTCATCGAGACAGAGTTATACATTGTTTAACATCATAGATGAACTATGTAAAACTGAGTCAGAGAATTTCAGCGAACTACCTCTGCGATCGAACTGCTTGATCGTGAAAACTAATAATGAAAGTTTATTTTTCAAAATTTCATACGCATCATAACACCTTAACTGTGTCTCCGCACTTTTCAATCATCTTTTATCATGATTTAATGCACAAGGGCTCGCATTTATTATACAAACCTTTCATTTGGTATTTCAATCAAGTCATTCTTGTTGATATTAGTTGCTCGCGGGGTAGTTGGCGAACACGGAGCTTGTATCGTAGTTTGAACCTATTAATATACTCATGCTATAAATTCCTAAATTACGAACAGCAGCATAATGTAAGAGTTACAAAACAATTGATTTCATTTTTATAAAAAAAAAATATTTCTTCTTCTATTTTGAAAGCCTTAAAAGTATCAATCTGATCTTTTCTTGTAGTTCTTTTTCAAAGTTATGATCGTATGTGTTTATGTTGAACAATGCCGTTATTAGAGCATTGATCGTGAAGCAGACGTCACTTCAGATACAATAGAGTGTGCATCAGTTTGATAACTAGAAACGACAACAGATGTTTCCGTGCCACTTTCTTTTTATAAACAGCTGTTCCTTTAATTTGTTTTTTTTTATAACTACAAATGTCTGACAGATGGTCCTCTAGTCAAGTTGTCAAATTAATAAAAATTCAAGCTTTTGTTCACCACTTCTCTGTATACACCAGTTACATTAGGTAATGAGTCGAACAATGAGAACTGGAGCTGCTGCATATCTAAACCGTTTCATAAATCCTTAGCACATTAAGGGTTATTATTTCATCGTATGATTGATGAAGTTCAAGCATCCTTATGGAAGCATTTACAAGACTGCCACGTCTGACCATCGGCTTCAAGATTTATCAATTGTATAGACCTTTTTCGACTAGTTTTGATAGTCATCAACACTTTTTTTTATATCCTTTCTAAACCGTAGATAAAGGAAGCTTGAACGATATGTTTCAATTTCTAAAATATGCATGGTAATCCGTTCATACACGGTATACTCAAGAAAAGAATGAAGATTTTAAGACTTTGGACCTCAAAAGACATACTGTTTCTCTCTTATGTTACTTATAGAAATCGTATAGAAAGTCGTTTGCGAGGTGAAATATTTTTGTACTTGAGTTTAAACTGTGAATTGTTTAACGTCATAAAGTGCGATAACGGCTTAGTTTTTTTTTTTTATTTATTGAAATCTAAACATATTTTAATAGGCTATAAGTTGATGAATCAGTATACTCACCTCATTGAGAAATAATAGTCGGCGAGGAATATTTTCTCCAGTAAATTTGGTATTGATCGGCATTATTCGTTCAAATTTGTGCTACTATAATGTATTCTCAGTAACTGATGGCGTCAGCAGAATGAGAGAAAATATTTACTGTATATTACCAAAAGATTCATGGATTCTTTTGGTTTTTGTGTTCTTTATTGGAAGAAAATAGAAAAATCTTAAAATACAGTTGCACAATATATAGTTTGTAAGAGAATTGCTCGGTTCTGTGTATAATGCAACTAGAATTTTAATGTGATGTTTTCTTTTCTTTTTTTATAATATTTTTCAGGGATTCGAAGAATCAACAAAAATGCACTTTATTATGCACATATTGGCTGTGAGAGCTTTCCGTAGTTAATACAAAAAAGAAACTTAGATAGGACTTCTAGATGTTATTACTATATTTGAATATGAACAGAACAGAACAGGCAAGTTTTGGCCATGCAATGAAAAGTATTTTTTGGCATGTAATGCGTACAAAATAAACTTCTTTTCTTTATATTTCTACGTCGAAATAAAAAAACAAGTAGCGTTCGTCGTGTTGACTCACTTCACCCTCGACTGTGGAAGACATATATACTGTCTGCGTGTGCTATTAATGAGGCGAATCGATCTAGCAACTTCACGTACGATGAAACGGTACAACTTTTTCTCTTCCACTATTAATTAACTCTCGCAAACAAAATAGCTTATTGTCTTTGTAAAACAAACGTGAGGATATAAAAGGTCCTTTTTATTGTGAATTTATCACCACTAACGCTGGTCGGACACTCTCGCTGAACGCTTGACTGATTTTCTTCCCATTGTACTCTGGTCATTAGAACTATACAAAAGATGTTCAACGCATTATTCATGTATCCTACACATAATTTCACAGCCTTACATCGCGTGATAGCTATCGATCCATTTTATGATTTGCGACAATTATCGATCAGCCTCATCTATCTCCATGCGCTATTTGTGATGTTTCTGTCATTTTTTGCCTTCAATCATGACACAGATAGATACCATTCAAATTACTTTTTCTCAAGAGACCATGTGGCGAGTCTTCGTCCATTTTCTCAATACAGTATTCGTTTAGCCAAATTATCGAGTTAGTAAATTCATAGTTGAGCTCTCAAGCCATATATCGACGCTATAAATATGCTCTTCCGTCGACCCTCGGTTCGATCGGAAAAGACTACTCTTCAAATGGCAAATATTTCGAGAAAAATGTTTTTTGATCGTTCACTCTTGGCCCTTGACCCTCACCCATAGCCGTGGATATGAGGGATCACACCGTGCCACCTGGCACGCACCATTTGCCACATCTCTTAGCTTCGGCCATCACTGGCCGCACACGCGCGCAACTTCAGCCACATAGCGCGCAGTAGCCCACCATTGCCGACGTTTTGCCACAAACAAACAATTTTATTTCATAAGACCGTCCCTACAGTCGAAGGAACAGAACTGATGATATTGCCGCAATTTATGTCCCATTGTCACGTGTGAAACGTTTGACTGATTTAATTATTCTAAGATATTTCGATTACAAAACTTTATTCATGCAACCAACTAAATCGCAACTTCCTGAGATGGAAAGACTAGATAAACTATATACAGAAACGCAATTGCGCTTTGCTCAACATTTCTAACGATCCTTTTCTGTTTCGCCAAATTTTGCTCGTAGCTGCTAGTATTTATGACATACTGTTATGACCTCTCAATAAAAATACGCCCCCTGTTCATAGCAATTTTACAAAAAATTAGCTATTTTGCTTTCGAAAGTTAATAAATAGTGAAACACAAACATTTTGCTTGTTTCATCCTCTATCAATTTGCTAGATCAATTCGTCACACTAATAGCACACGCAGAAAGTATCTGTGTTCCACAGTCGAGGGTAAAGTCAGTCGACACGACGAGCGTTACTTGTGTTTCCTTCTTGATTGAAATGAAAATCTACAAAAATGCCTTTCGTCCTAAAACGGAACGGATCTATTGTTAATGTTCTTAATTTGATATTCTTGTAGCTCACTATGAGAACTATCGAAATCACTATTTCCATGTCCTTAATAAGTGGTCTAAGGTTGAAAAAAAAAGCAAACAGACGATGCCTTAAAATCTTTTCCGCCACTTTACCCTAATACATACGATAGTTTGTCGTTCTTTTATTAATCCTAAGATCAGTTGCAGTCACATAATAGTTGCAAGACCTTCTGAAACCATTTCTAGCCATCCTAACCGATCATCAGTGTTATATTCCGCTATAAACAAATCGACAAGAAATGAACTTCTAACCTAGATAAAGTCCTCAACTCCTGGAACAGCACCGCCGATCACCGATTCCAATCACATACGTCCACACACCCACCCCACAAGAGCCAATAGACGGCCGCCACCCGCGATCATACATCCACCCATAGTTTTAGCCGAGACCCCACCCACATCCACCTGAAGATGCTGCGTTGACCTTTGACCTTGACACAAACAGACAGACAGACAAACTATTTTATTTCATATGAACCTCTCTACAGTCGAGGAAACAACAATATCACCGGTCATAGACATTAATATTATAATAACTTTAATAAAAGGATGCTCATGATTTATTTGAGAATTTATGTAATGAAAGCTGTTTTGTCTACACTTTTTTACTAAAGTAGAAAGAGTAGCTAATTGTTTCGCATCAGAGATGGATGTCTCGCGTCAATACATCTATATGGTTTCCATTACAATCCTTGTGACACAGCTGGGTATGCTCTGTTATTAGACGGAAGGAAAGCAAAGGAAGTGAATGCACATTTTACTATGTTGGAAAATTCTTTTCTCGAGTAAACAGATTTGAAAGAATACAATGAAATGCAGTTAGTTTTTAATAAAAGAAATGCTGTATGCAACGGGTGGGTCATAAAGAATGACCCTCCCAGTATTTTTCACATATCTCTCTCAAATTTTGACATTCTTACTTGATTTTTTCCAAGAGAGAGCGCGTGAAATTTTCTATAAAATCTTATGAAAAGACATCTTCCAACGGGTAACTATGAAATTATATCCGAACGACACCACAACGCTCTAAAGTGACCTACTTTCAAAGCGCTGCTTTTCATATCAACAATTTTGCGCCACTATTTTGACCACATATAAAGAGATTGAATAGGACATTTTGTAGACCATGAAAAGATCTGTTACTTAAGCCAACACTTTTTTGGCATAATGTAAATTTTACTGGAAAATCTTTCCTTTGTTCTTCTTTATTCGTGTTCCCAGAAGCTTTTGTTAAAGTCCATCGTAGTTTTTATTATTTTGCGTTAGATGGAAAATTATTACATATTCAAATTCATTATGAAGTCGAGCGAAAATGTTGTTTCTATCATTTCAATACAAACAGAATATTGCCAAGTGTTTCTTCTGCAATGATTTAGATGCGTAACGAGAACCACCAATGATTCTAAGTCGTCTTCTAAGAAGATTGGCTACTGGAACCTCACAATCGTGTCCAAATATCTTCTCTTCAGATCTGTTAGAAAGAGTACATCTGAAAACACAGAAAACTTGCATTAGAATAGGGTCTCGTATATGTTTCGCTAGAAGAAATGAAATCATTAGTTTTGTAGAAATGCGCATTTGAAAGTGAGTCATGTTAAAACGTTGTTGTTTTGATCTGATATAATTTCATAGTTACCCGTTGGAAGATGTCTTTTTATAAGATTTTATAGAGAATTTCACGCGCTCTCTCTTGGAGAAAAGTTCAAGTATGAATGTCAAAATTTGAGAGATATTTGAAAAATACTGAGAGGGTTACTCTTTATGGCCCATCCGTTATTAAGAATTTTCATTTGTAGTTATGCGAAACTTTAATTGCATACGAGATCCTAGACAACTACTACATTGTTATAAGACAACAAGGAAAGAAAATAAAACTTTTCTCGTCTCACAACTTCATGCGCATTTTGTATGTTTGCTGTTGATAGTAGTACGTCAAAGTTTTCTTTGAGCAAGTTTTACACCTCTTCTAATTGAAATCTAGACGTATCATTCATTGAAAAACATTGATAGCTGACGTTTATTCTAATTTTGTTATTCAGTTAGCTGCTTGTAAGACATTCATTTACTGCCGAGAGAATTTTCCCAACCGCCATATCAGATTTCAATAGAAACCTACTGTTTTACTTGAATTTTAGCCTACAACACGACATATACTAGAAAATCGAGTGACGATATTCGAAATCAGCTTAGTCAATAACCTAGAATCCAGTAGGTTTGATCTGAAAACTGATTTGGAGGTTGGTAAGGTTGTTCAGTTAGTATATCATTATTAATTCTTGATTTTCCAATTAAATTTCTACTTTGGACTTCATTTGATGAAATTTTGAAGCAATGATCGCCGTTTAGTCTACCGCAGGATTCTGTAAATTTATTCAATACTGAAACCGTGATATTAGGAAATATTTGAACATTAATTACTTTTCGATTCTTTAAACCCAATCCCCTAAGAGACGGCCACTCTATATTAGTAGATCATCCTATGTAGAAGACTATGTAACAATTAATTAATAAATTTTAAATGATAATTATAGAAAATAGCCAATTTTCTAACATATTTTTAACAAAAGGGCGTTTTTTCCGTGAAAAGCGTCTAAAAATGGTGAAAAATAGTTATTAATTAATCATTAATTTTAAATAAGTTTTGAATTGATAATTAGCCAAAAATGACCTTTAATAGAAGATCACCTAAAACGAAGCGATATGTCGAGCAGAGCTGCGGAATCTTCTATTTGCGCACCCGCCGGGTGGGGAAATTTTTCGGAAATCAGCTTGAGGGAAGCGGAAAAAATTTCCCCACCCGACGGGGAAATTTTTGATTTTCTGAGAAATTCAGCACCTCTGGCGTCGAGACATTGTACAAGGCCATAGCCTTTTATTCTGCTAGAGGGAGGAAGTATATCCGTCTATTTGATGCATCTTGAAGTTTTGAATGTAGTCGTTTACTTAAGATCTCTACAAGAGCTTTAAAAATTTTATCGATCGAAAGAAAAGTAAACTTCCGATTTTTTTCTTCGATGTTGGACGTATTTATACATGTAGAATAGTTTGTAATTTTCTTTCAAACAGAAAAGTAAACTTATCGCCTCTACCGCGTTGTTAAACTGATTACTATTAGAAACTTACCATGTCATCCAAGCAACAGACGCTCTTACTCTTTTGTATTCTTTAGAAATAACAGTTCAATCATCTGTATTCATGTTCTTATAAAATGGCACAAAAAAGCCACATTCCTACTCGACGTATAGCACCGACAACAATAATGCAACACACAATTAATGTGAGATCTCGGCGTCCATCTGACTTGTCCGATGTTTCGAATCCAGAACTACCTTCTTGTCCAATTATAACTACATATGATACATCCGAAAAGAAATCTGGCTATGAACTACTTTATGAGGTACATAAATAATGATACATAGTTTTCCTGGCTAAGTTTTTGTGGAAAACGTTTCTTTTATCAACTAGAGTGCTCAAGAACAATTGAATCCTTCGAAAAAATGGGAGAAATTAGTTGCACACGTTGGTGCACATCTTCATAGTAAAAAGTATGGGACACGTCTTGTTAATGCTCTCGATGAAACAAAACAATGGTCTGCTCTCCATTATGCTGTTTTCAATAATAATACGTTCGTTTGCAATAAACTAACGGACGAGACACATGGTGATATACGTTTTCGATGTGGTATGTGTACAAAGACTGCTTTGCAAATCAAAAATGTCCTTTTCGTTATTTTGTTATTTCAAAGATGTTAATATTCTTACGGGCAACAGTGAGAATGTTCTTCATATTGCCACCCGGTCCAATTTACTTTGGCAAGTATGCTAATACTCTTTTTTACATTACATAGATTCACTAGTACTTTCTATGTTCAAATTTTATCAAGAAAAAGATGATTCTTTTCCAGTAGCTTGCAAAACTTTAGAGATGATTAAAAAATTCTGAAATAGAGTCAGTTGTTGACTAATCATTTATCAGCTTTATCTCTATTGGAAATACAGAGTCACCTTCATCCTTTTTGCAAGGTAAGAGTTTCCTTCTATAACAGTTCTTGAAGATCCCTAATGCTAACCCATCAGCATTCAGCATATTTTATCTAGTATTCGTTTCATAAAAGAATATTGATTACTAGACTCTATCACTATCAAATAAATCGAGAGAAACTCATGGTACAAAAGACAATCAACCAGCTTTGATTCCTTCAATTATCTGTACGCTTGTCGATCGCGGCGTCGATATTAATCATGCGGATGATGAAGGTCGTACACCGCTTCACCTGGCAGTCATGGAGAATCGATTAGAATTTGTTAAATACTTACTTAAAAAGGGCGCCAATCTCTATGTAAGTAGGATTCAAACAAATGAGAACAATCCATTCTACACTGTAATACCCTTCAATAGGCTAAAACCAAATTATACGGTAATGTTTTACATTTTACTTTTATTCCAAACGGACAAAGTTCCGCGGAATTATCTGCTATGTTTGAATGTATAACAGAAAACCTCAAGAACCCTACATCGTCTTGGAATTTCGCACCGAGAAATCTTGCTCGAATGCGTACATTTGATAACTGGACACCCCTAGTTTTTGCCGTGTCGCATCCCAAAGTAACAAAAGATATTGTTCAAAGACTCTTCCAAGAGATGATGCATGATGGATATTTCAAATTAGATCTGGATAAGTCAGACATTTTACAAACGCAAATATTCATGGCTATTGCAGAAGTAGCCCGAGGACCCATACAATCATATAATCACCTAGAACCTATTCTCGATCATTGTGAGATTCCTATATTTAATCAATTTTTTCATTTTGCTTGCCGGTATAATAATGATGGTTTTCTTAAATGGTTAATCGAGTACTCACTCAAATTTAGTGATCAAACAGTATCCAATAGCGGAACATGCCAAAAAATCAACTTGAATCAGCCAGATCATCTGGGCTACACACCATTACTCACTGCTGTTTTCTATCAATCAGATAAATGTGTTGAACATTTGTTGAAGAATACATGTGCAAGTACACAAAGTGCGACGACGTCTATACAATCGATCAAGATTAATCAACAGAATATCGATGGTGAAAATATTCTGCATATTGCTGCGAAAAATGTTCGAGAGAAACCATTATTAGATCTAATATGGGATGCAATAAAGGCAATGAATCTTGCCGAAAAATCAGACCATAATGGAAATTCACCGCTTCACATAGCTGCTGCAAATAATCGAGAAGATATTTGTGATAGAATTCTAAAGGCTTCTACCAATCGCTCTCAGATATTAAGTAGAAAAAATAATCAAGGTCAGACTGCTGCTCATATCGCCACATTAGCTGTACGTCGTCGTGTTGGACCAGATCGATATTATTTTGATCACTTTAAAAAAGGCAAACTCAATGAGTCCAAAAATACAAAAGAGGATAGTCAGACTAGTAATGACAATGATGATGATTATAATTTTGGTTTACCTATTCTTACATTAATGTGGGAAAAAAGCGATAAAAATAATCTACTTGGAGGTTTATTCGAAAGGGATGCTGATCGACAAACTTGTTTGCATTTAGCTGCTGCAAAAGGTAAATTTATTGACAAAAGAATTATCTGATCATTTTTTCCTTAGGACATCAAAAAATTGTTGAATTTCTTGTCGAAAAAGTTGGTATTAAAATTGATGCTATTACTGATCGTCGTTTGACACCACTACATCTTGCTTGTCAATATGGCCATGGAAAAGTCATTGCTTATCTGATTGAACATGGTGCTTCAGCAACATTTCGTAATGCTGAATTATATAATTCATTAGAAATTGCTATTATGAATCAACATAAAGAAGTTGTTAGAGAACTTCTTACGCTACCTAACTGGCGCGAATTGATGAGTAATGCACAACGTATTGACAATTCCGAAGGCTATGATACGCCTATGCGAAAATTAATTCGATATATGCCCGATGTAACTATTTGGATGATCGAGGAAAAATTAACTCGAACAATTGGTGGACAGGGAAAAAATATATTTAAAGAAAGTATATGATTATGAATTTTATTTGGATGTTTACCAAGTTAAAGAATGGTATATACAAGGTAAATAA